TTGATTAGCTCCTCAATGAAGGTCCCATCTTGGTCTAAAACTTCGTCCCCCATGTAAGGAATGTTGTGTAAAACTGTTTCATCTTCCACCATGAAGTTCTGCTGCAGGGGAGACCAGGAGTACATAATGGGCACCGAAGCAACTGCATTCAGCGTTTTCAGGGGGATGGCTTGTGTGGGGAAATCCAAGTCACTGCTCACGGAACAAGAAGTCAGGATGTGCACAGGCTGTATCCTTCGCTGCTTCCACTCCTGGTTCAAAATCTCCGTTCTTTCCACAATTTTCTGACGATTGGAACTAAACATACCCTTGACCTCATCCGCCCGCCGGAACCGTTTGAGTTGCCTCAGCCGCATGTACTCAGACTTGACTTGCTTCCGCCAGCACACAGGCCCCCTTGTCGGACTTCTTTCCCGTCTGGCCCATGATGACTGAGCCCAGCCGCGTCCCGCGCCGGCTCCCGCCTCTAATTTTTCGGTTTTTAAAAAAATTCCTTTAAATATCCGACATGAACAGCCAAAACCCTTCAACTAGGACAAGCACAAATGCAAGAAGCCTCACTCCATACCTTGCCACAGTTTCTCCACAGCAATTCCACAGTCTCTCCACCACCAGAATCTCACTCTCATCAGGGTCTTGCTGTCACAAGCCTTGCTTGCCTCAAATCTTGTTCAGTCTATCTGTATTTTCAATGTCACTTGGTATTGTCATCATTTTTTCTTTAGCCATTCCAATAGGTTAGCACACTGTCATTTTCATGTTCATGGGATCAACATCTTTTCAAGTGCTCACCTGCCATCTATATCCCCTCTTCAGTAAACAGCCTATTTAGCCCCCTTTGGAAGGTTGGGCATGCTTGTATTTTTCTGACTGGTCAGTTTGTACATAATTTTTCTCAATCTGTAAATTGTCCTTTCCTCTTCTTAAATTTTTTACAGCGAAAGCTTTACATTTTTAGAAGTACAGCTTTCCCAAACTGAGGAAGACCTGAAGCACTTGAAGCCTTCAATATGGATTGAAGCTCAACATCAAGAAAACAAAGATTCTAACCACTAGTCTGATAGGCAGCATCATGTTTGATGATGAAGAAACTGAGATTGTTAACAGTCCTAGTTTGTTTGGCTCTACAATCAACACTCTTGGCACTAGCAGCCAGGAAATCAAAAGATCAACTGCACCGGGAAAGTCTGCTGTCAGGGATATCTCCAGAGCACTAAAGAGCAACAATGTCAGTCTGGAGACCAAGGTGTGCCTGGTCCAGGCCATGGTCCCTGCAACTACATGCTATGCATCAGAAATCTGGACAATGACTAGGGGTGACAGAAGGAGAATTGATGCCCCTGAGCTGCAGTGCCAGAGAAGAGCACCAAATACACCATGGACTTTTAGGAGAACAAACAAGTTCAACCTGGAGGGGATGAAAACAGGCTGCTCTCTGGAGGTAAGGAATCTGAGGCTCCATCCAACACACTGTGGGTATGCTGCAAGGAGGGACCAGTCCCTAAAGAGGGGCACTATGCTTGGGAGGGTGGAGAGACAGCATAAGAGAAGAAGATGAGATGGACTGACCCAGTGACTGGGGCAACGGGGGGTAGGGGTATCAGTGACAACAAGGTTGGCTCAGGACAGAGCAGGGTTCAGAGCTACGGCACACAGGACCACCATGAGTTGTGACTCAATGGCACACAACAACGAGTCTATCATCCTTTTCTTTTTGTGAAAAATAATTGCCTGGCCTTAGATTACAAAGATTTTCTGTAATTATTTTTTCCTAAATGTTTGATTTCTTACATGTAAATTCATGATTCATCTTGAGTAACTTTTGTATAAAGTGTGAGAATTAGGCTAAGGTTCTTTTTTTGTGTGTCTATGGATGCTCACTTGTTGAAGAGTACTCCTGTAGAAAGCTTTAATCTCTTGTCAAAATTAGTTGGCTGTGAGTCTGTTTCTGGGTTCTCCATTCTGTTCCATCTGTCTATATGTCCATCCCTGTTACACCATGGTGTCTTCCTTACTATGGCTTTACAGTAAGTCTTAAAATGTCTTCAAAATTAAGTTAGCATAATTAATTTTATATCTAGATAAGATATTTTGTCTTTCCCAACTTTGTCTCCTGCTTTATTCTAGGGAAGAAAGCTCTTGCATAAGCTCTTCCTTTTCTTGTTGCAACTCCTGAAAATGTTGTTGGTTTTGCTCTAGTCTGTCCTCCAACCACTGTAGGAGAGGTCTGATGACTGCTGACATCTGACTGCACAGGTTCCTAGTAAATACAGAACTATTATAGATTTTGGTTACCAAGTCCAGATGTGTAAGGCTGTGAACGCTCGTATATGCATCCTGCTGTTCCTGGCACAGGATCTTGGGCAGCTCTGCTGCTGACTCAAGGCACACTTTCCCAACGGTGACGTGAGGTACAATATGGATTGCAATTTCAATTCTTTCACACTCTGAGCTCTTTGGGGCCTGTAGAGATTGGGAGCAAGTGTACAGCACTCGGCTAGTGGTTGTGTTTTTATCTTCTATGAAACAGGAAATAATCAGTCCCACAAAGCCTTGATCCATCATCTGGTACATGGCTTGTGTGCAAACATCCACATGGGAAGGCCAAACAGTTATGTGAGGATGGGAGTGATACCAGCCCACAACTCTCATGGGGCGACCTGTGAGTTCAGCCAACCTCTCTGCCTCTGTTGAAGCTGCGGACAGCTGCTCTGGAGAAATCTCCACTCGATCCTTCCTTTTCTCAGAACGCCGCAAGATGATGACAGAATGAATGTGAATAATCTTCAGAGTCAACCTTTCCAACAACTGGTCGTAATTCGTTTCCAGCACATGTGAGTTTAGAATCGCCCCTTGTTGTCATCATTCAACTCCCCGGTGCACGGCCCCATCACTTCCTCCTTCTCGGTGCTCAGAGCATTGTCGAGGCAAACCAGGAAGGCGCCGGACTCCACATGAACTGCCTGCACCCCCTGCATCGCCATCTTGGGGGTTCACATCTGCTGGTGCCCACTGGGCCTGGCCAACCGCGGCCCGCGCGGGGCGCCCATGGAATGAACTCCCAAGGGAGGGAAAGCACAGTCTAAAACTGCTCCCTCTACTGCCTCTGCATTGCAACTTCAACATTTTTTCAAATCGGAATGTACCATACAACCACAGCCGTTATTTTATGATACAGTGTCTTTTCCCTTGAGAAAAGTTTAAAACAAATAACTAAATAAAAATTCAAGGATCTTAAGAGTCAAAGAAACATGATGACTGGAAGCATTTTTCACGCTTATCTGACTAGAAAATGATTTTTTCCAAAGACACTTTATTGTTGGATCTTCATGACAAAAGTTGAGATATGCTACACTGGAGGAGTTTTTCCCTAGAGTTAAAAAGATAAACACGACTGCTAACTTTACTGTTCTGGAAATCCTGACAAATTTAGCAAGAAAAAAACAGTGAAATACAAATATCTGATCAAACTCAATTCAACTCAATGCTTTGCTGCTGGAACTGACTCCCAGCTCTCCCTCCAGCAGGTTTTCAAGGCTAAAGTGCCTGGGAGGGGACTGTCCATCTTTCTCCTGCATAGCTGCTGCTGGAGTCATCCTGGATTCGCAGAGTAACTCCCCACAGACTAGGGCACCTGTGCTCTCTCAGGTAGTGGACAGCAAACAAAACTACCACTGCTTGGGAGGTGACAGCTTATTTCTCAAAACTGCAGGGGAAACAAGTGACATACTACTATCACGACCAGGTGTGTAGTAAGGGGCTACATAGAGAATATTTTTAAAAAAAAAAAAAACTTTAAATACACTGACAGTAACACATTAGATAAAACCATCCAATTCACATCAGCAAAACAGAAATCTGTCTGGGAATATATTCATAGGATCGAGATAACAAAGTTCTAAAATCCTAGTTATTTGAAAGATCTGGAAAGTAGAAAGAAACTACAATACTGCTGAGTTGGAAAAGGAATATTCTCAGTCTCATTATTAATCTGTAAATTTAGCAAACACCCAGACCGTCAAAACATGTTTTAGGGTATTTGGCGTTTGTTTTTTTTTTTAAGAGAATTTTCCAAGTAATCATAAATCTTAATTTCTCCTGGAAGAAATACACAAACTAAAGAAATGAAAGGAGCCTGGCTCACACACACACACACACACACACAGAGCTAAAGTAATTAAAATCATAGCTGACATTCATTCATTCAAAAAGTTTTGTCTGAGGCAAGCACTAGCATCCAGTGATGCTGGAAGAGTTCAGAGTTTAGGCTCTGAAGAGCCACATGAGGAGTAGACGGTTAGGCATGCAGACTCTGAACTCTGAAACTACTTGGGCTTGAAGTCCAGTTCCACCACTTACTAGCTGTGTGCCCTTGGTTATCTATCTTTACTTTTATTTTCTTCTGTAAACAGGGGTACAGAAGTACTTCATTTGGAGATTAAGCATTAAATCATCAGTTAATGTTATAAAACAAAGTGTGTATGAATGATTAAACAAAAAAAGTCTGTTTTGTAACATTTAATTTAAAAAAATAAAGAGGTCCCTTGCTAAAAAAACCCCAACAAACCACAAAAAAATCGATGATAGACATGGCAAGCTGTTCATGAGGCATACTATTTTGTGAAAAGCAACTGAAATATGATCCCAGGTTTTTAAAACTCTTTTTCATGCAATGAAGAGAATAGAAAATTATACTCCAAAATGTAACAGTAATATTGGCTATGGGGATTAGGATTATAGGTAGTTTTAATTTTTCTCTTTCGTGTCATCTGCTATCAATATAATGAATATATATAATTTCTCTCATCTTATTTTGAAAATGTTGGCTTAAATGAAACAAAACACCTTAACCCAGGACTGCCTGACTGGTTATTTCATAGGCTTTTTATAAGACAACTTAACGTGTCTTGTAGGTTTAGGTCAAGATCCACAGCCTAAAACAGTGTAATGCACACAGAATTTCAAGGAAGATTATCACTAAAAGCATCAATGAAACATACCAACTTTGAGGAAAGTTTTTAGTTCCAAGGGCCGCAGCACAGGTTGCTTTTCTATCCGGCCATAGGTTTCTGCTATGCTCTCTACTTCCACTTTAGGGTACTTAAATAGCTCGAAAGTCCCATCTCGGTTCTGGATAAAGCTCCGGGTGATTTCCAAGGGCATCTGGACACCAAGATAACACCAAGAAAGATGAAACAGAAAAAAGTTTCCATCCTCACATGGTTCATGGCTTTCCTTCTACGTGACATTAATAAGAAGCCCAGCCAAACCATCTACCAACTAAATACATCCACAGTGTCTTCACACTGGCATGACTGCTACTAGCACGAAAATCCTAAAATACAGTGCCTTCCCTCTTCTGCTGTTCACTGCATTCCTTTCCTAGACACTCTGTCAACAGCACTTAATCTCAACTCACAATCCATATACTGTTCTTGGTGCTGAGCCAGACAGAACTTGAATGAAATCCTGTCTTCGTCACTGAACAGTAGAGTAACCCTGAACAAGTTATCTAACTTATCTGAGCTTTTTATTTGGTTTTGGGTTTTTTTGTTTTGTTTTTTGTTTTGGGTTTTTTTTAAGCCTGTTTCTTTGTCTGTAAAAAAGTTAATACAGTTTTGAGGGAAACATCAAAAAGTAGCAAGTAACTAGAAAGAACTGTTCTAATCCACACTGGTTTAAAGTCTAGCATCTATTTCTTGTGCCTAGGATTGCAGTCCTTTTTACTGAAGAAGATATTCTTTCTGAACATGATAATGTAGCTAAACTAATTTTAATATACAATGTGCTAAACCACATTAAGTTATTTTTAAAATAATATAGCTGGAAGAAATCTCAAATTTTCAGAATCTTCTTTAAAAAATGCTTAAAATCGGTGAGCTCTGGTGGCCTAGTGGCAAGAAGGTGCACTGCAATTCCAGAGGTGAGCGGTTTGAATCCACCAGAAGCTCTGCTGGAGAAGGGGGAACAATCTCCTCCTATACCAATCAGATCCAACAAAAAATAATAAAATGTTTAAAAAATAAAATCAAAGTAAAAAAAAATGCTTAAAATCTTCCCTGGGAAAGAGAACATAAAATAATTAAAGGTTATTTCATTAATGAGAACCAAACTGCAGTTTGGGAGAAAGCAGGAATGGGGAGGATTGTGCTGGACACACTGATTTCACCAATAGGTAACCTCAAATTATTTACACAATTTCTGGTTGCCAACCAATCAAATCTAGGGCTTATTATAATTGTAATTGTTCATTTCTCCTGGAAGATACACACAAGGTAAAGAAATGAATGGCGCCTGCTGACTGAGAGGAGTCTGACGCATGGTGACGCTCCACTGGACGTCCAGAGCTCTGAACCTTTACAGGAGAATGCCCATCTCTCTTCTCCAGAGACGCTAGTAGGTTCAAACTGTCATCTTTTCAGTTAGCAGCCCAATACACTATGCCACCAGGGTTCCTCATCACAATGATTCAAACGAAACTGACTAGTACCGAGTTGGTTCTCACTCATAGTGACCCTCCACTGGATTTTTCTCTCAGAGTAGCCAGTGCATTCAAACTGCCAAACTTTTGGCTAGCACCCTAATATGTTGCACACTACACTATCTGGGCTCCTTAGCATGGTAATTGTGTTACTGTTATGTACCATTGAGTTGGGCCAACCCATAGCTGATCCTCCAGGAGGATTTCGCAGGAGGTGATTGTCCATCTTTCTCTCACAGAGCAGCAGGTGGGTTCGAAGTGCCTGCCTTTGGGTCAGCAGCACAACTCCTTACCAATATAGCACACCAGAGCTCCCTATTTATTGTGATTAAGAGATCTTTAATTTATAAAAAACAAATCTTTTTATTTTGTGATCCTAAAGACATAGGTAACAGAAGGACTCAAAATTCTAATTCCTGGAAATTCCTTTTGAACCTTAAGTTAAAACCATTTAATGAAGTCATCTTTAAACTAAACAAGTACGTTTCATAAATAATGTGTCTTGAGCATTCTGCTATATTGAAGAATTACCGATGTGAGACTGAAACAACAACAGTCAACTCTAAAGTAAGAAGTTTAAGAGGCAGAGAATCTAATTTTACAGTGGTAAAGAAAAACAGGCAAAGATAGGAAGAATGATTACACAAAGTGAAGAAATGTAACCACTGCCAATGAACCACACAGATAAAAACTGTTAGATGGATGAATGCGTGTCTTGTGTGTATATTCAGATAGAAAATAAAAAACTCAACCACACCCATGTTGTTGTTATTAGGTGCCAATTACAAAATTTCAAGTCATGAGGAAAACCATTAAAATAAAACCACTGATATTTCTGAATAATCTCTTGGCATGAAAAACAGGAGCTCTTTTTGGCTTCTGTTAACTCAAAACAACACATGCAAATATAATTCCCATACTTCCTTCTCTACCCTCCTACTGCTATGGAAATAAACTCTTATTACCTCCGGGGTATCCAAGATTTGTTTGACTTGTAAGATGTTAGTGATGTGCCAGGTATACTTGGAAAAGGTTCCCAATGGTAAGGCATCTTTCCGAACAAAAGCTGCAAAGTAAATATAAAAACAGGGAAAAGTTAAGTGCAACAATGAATGAATGAAAATCCAAAGTCTCTAAATTTTCATTAAAATTAACAATAATAAAATTTAAAAAAAACCAAAAACAGGAAAAAGTTACACCGGCAAAAGATAATATCCTCTTTCACTATATTTGTTCCTTATTTCCTTAAGAGTCCAGAAATTCTTTATTAGAATTCTTTTAAATTCTTTATAAAATTCTTTATAGAATTTCAGCACTTTAAAATGAATTTCTAAAGACAATCAGATTATGCTGGGAATGACTGAGAAAGAATAATGTCTAATGTTAAGGAGCTATGCTTCCAACCTGAAAGCTCATGGTTCAAGTCCACCAGCCACTCAGTGGAAAAAAATGGGTACTCTCTCATGCGATTTATTCCTTCTGAAAATCTGCTAAGGGGTCAGCTATGGGTCAGTTCTGACTTGGTGGTACACAACAACAACAGTGTCACATTCAGAATATTTTTTTCTTTCCTGAAAAAGTATTTTATGATCTATCCTGAAGTACAATGTTGTGATTGTCTATGCCAAGACAGCTACTTGGCCAGCTGATTAGAAGACATCATATTTGTTTTCTTGTGAAAGGATGCAATCCATACACATAAAAGAAAGACCTGTTAATACAACTATTACTCAAATAAGTGTATCAACCACTAAAGCCAAAGACTAAGAAATTGAGGACTTTACCAAGTTTTGCAGTCAGATGTTTTAATAAGAGCTGGTGCTTTCTGTGGTATATATGTAAGAAGGACATCTCTGAGTTTCTCCTGCAGTGCTGGTCTTGTTTTTACAAACTCTCTTAGGTTT